GGTACTTTATATATATTTGAGTCAAATATTGTAATCAGCAGAGACAACACTGTGACATTTAGTGGGTAGTAAGGTCTCTTGCCACAAAAACAAATACAAAGTCTCTTTTATATGTTCTCACCTGTCTCCATGTGTTTGTTTCTGGTGTGTAGAACTCTAAACCTAAGAGTCCAGCTCTTACCATATTTAACCAATTGATATAAAGAATATTATCAGCTGCTTCACCTTCATGACCAAATATCCTAACAGTTGAGAAGAGTAAAATGAATACGGTACTGATAATAAACAAAAGCAATAATTAACCAATAAAAACTGAAAAGCCAATGAGGTACTAAATCAAATGTAAATAGTTCTATTCACAATCTAAGTGAAAACATGATAACCTTGTATATTTGATGGCTGAACTGAAATCTAAACTCAATTCAGGTTACATGTACAGCAGTTATGTCATGCGATCTCATAGTATTATAGTTACCCATATCACAAATCAAATCAATAGAAGAGAACTGTTTTTAAATGACAAGTTGGACAAGCAAAATTGAAACCGAGGATAATGACAGTGATAGAGAATGGCTTTAATATATTTAAATATGTAAATTTCAGGGATGCAATCAAAGCCACATTGGCTCCGGTCACTTTAAAGGCACAGTTGCTAGTTTATGGTCGCTAATGTACATGCCTCTAACTACATCTAATTGACTGCCTTGCTAAACACAAATAATACGAGCTGCTTTCTAGAATGACAAATCTTGTCAGAGAGCTGCCAAAAGCGATTTGCATTGGTAGTTGGTTAAGTTTAGTTTGTGTACCAATGAACAAAAAATGATGACCATAGGTTAAACACAGAGCTTCTACCTACATCAGATTTTGAATCAGATTGTAATGAATGCCACTTTGGGGGAACCGTTTAATGTACTTGAAGTACTGGACCAGGCCTGATCACAGTACATTGCTATTGTGCCATTATGAGAGAAAGATGGTCATACAGCCCTGTCATACTTCATGCACTTTTCAACACTCTATAGATACATCATTTTTACTAGTAGTAAATCAATGCAATCCAAAAAATTACATACTTTAGTATCTCTCTTCTGAGACATAGGTAAATACCCACACACTCTGCTCTGCATTCCTCATATGATGAACCAATGATAGGAAATTTAGTATCCCATGTCTCACCAGCACTGTACCATGATTCAATCTGAAACATCAAAAAAATATTATGTACCGGTACTTCATTTGTTTAATATACTGTGGACTGCAATAATTCACAAATGTGTCTGACTG